AGGGAGTCTGAAATTCTCCAAAAAGGTGTGATATACTTTATGGATGATCCCAATTGTTTATTTTAAGTATATTTTTATGTGGGATTCTACTTTTTAGTCTGACAAAATACTTATTTATATATAACATATAACCTATGTTAATAGATTTAACTGTAATGTTGCTATTTTTGTGTAATATATACAAGGTATTAAAAATGTATTAAATAAGATTTTTTGTCACTAAGAAAATTGACTGTTGTAAATGTTAATTAAGTATTTTTTTAGCATTATATCAGAGACTCTTTGATGAATGTGCACAAACGATGATCAAATTATATTACCTGATACTAATTAACTAAGTACCTATTTAAAAACTTATAATATCTTACAATGTATTTTTATTCAAAGGTTACTGAATGTCTTTATAATGTATAAAACAAATTGTTTTAAACAATTAATAGTTTATGTGTTGAAATTCGGCTCTTTAGGTTTTATTGTATTAAAATATACTAATATAATACTTATATTATCTTCAAGTAATTATTAAATCTCATTTTTGTTACAGAAAATCTAAAAATAACTTATTTATTTTACTACAATAAAATCTAAACAGGCAAATTTATATAAAGTATGTAATGTAATTAATTAACTACATTATGTGTAATAAACCATTAATTTAGGTTATATTGCCCTTCTATTTATGTATATATGTACCAATAAATGTTTATTTTAAATAATTTTGTATTTTTTAAATCAAAAATAAGTATTTTTAAATAATAACCTATTCAAATTTCGCGGGCTACGGAACCGCATCGAAAAACTTAAGATCAAGTAGGCCAGAGCGTGACCACCTCTTGTAAAATCGTTGTTGCCAATATTAGAATAGGAACTTTTAGTTCTATTATGTTCTGTGTTTGAGATTTAGGAATCCGAACCTCGGCAAATAAACGAGTCACGAATTGTGGCCTTACGATAATTTACACAGAGAAACTGGTTTTTCTATGATAATTTAGCTTTTTCAGTGGAATTCTTTGTTGGAGCCAGGATTGTCATGAAATTTCCGTGGCCCTCTGCTTAAACAGTGCCGGCTTTGCAAGGCCAAAGCCGCGAACCCACAATTTCACTCATTTAACGTCAAGAGGGAACTGATTTCAGCCAAGTGAGCTGTTTCAGTATTTACTTATTTTGCCCCATGATGAAAAATAAGGAGGTCATATTTATGTCACATTTATTACGTAAATATTATGTAATAGTATGATGTCAGTGTTACATCAAGATGTTTACGTCAGAGTCTGACGTAAGAAAGTGTGAAATAATGACTCTTGTATGACTCAAGTGTGACCTATATCTTACGTAAGCGTGACTTGACATGACTTCATATTTACGTCATATTTACGTAATTGTGTTTACTGGGCAGCATGGTTTCAAAATAATAATATTAACGTCCTTGATTGGCCTAGTCACAGTCCGGATTTAAATCCGATAGAGAATATGTGGGGATTAATGACAAAACGTTTAAAGGAGCGACGGATAGAAGTTCAAAATAGGGAAGAACTTATCCTTGCAATAACTGAAGCCGGGCAAGGTTTGCCATTGCATTATCACCGAAATCTATGTCTCTCCATGCCGACTAGATTGGCACAAGTTATTCAATCGAATGGAGCAACGGCCAAATATTAGTTTACATATTTTTGTTTAGTTTAATTTAAATATTACAAAATTTAATAAAATAATAATAAATAATAATAAATTATTTTAATTTGGTTGTCTTTGTGTGATTCTATAAATGGCAGAGATCATTAAATAAAATTTTGCTTTCGCTGTCAAGATGACGCGTCATGACTGTCCGGAAGTAAGGTTAGTTGTCATAAAGGCAGATTTAGATTTTGATGTCAAATGAATTATAAGTCGTTCAAAATTCCGTGTCCCCCACTGTACCATCTTTGAAATAGAAAAATGTCCAAGAAACCTCAACACTCACCTTACTGTTGCGCATTAATTTATAAAAAAATCATTTAAGTGTATATCTCCACAACGGCTACATAGTACGCGATTTTAATTTATCTTGTAAAGTAAAGCGAATAATATCACTATTTAAAAAAATGTTTGGAAGATTATATATTTTTTAAGTTGAAAATGCCAATTGTACCAACGTGGCTAGCATATTCACCTACTCCAACGACCGTTATGGAACGATTAGCAGTTCAAGCCTTTTTGGATGGACTTCGAGACAACGAAACAAGACAGGCTCTAACACTGGCTCGTCCGAACCAACTGGTTGATGCATTGGCTTGAGCTATGGAATTCGAGGCGACAAAGAAGAGCTGCAGGAGCCAGCCTAGAATAAGGAGAGTCGAGGAAGAGAAGGAGGAGGAACCCAGTATAACTGAAGCAATCAGGCGAGTTAAAAAAATTACCAGAGAAGAAAATACGGTGTTGGAGATGTGGAAAGCCACACGGAGAAAAATGTATGTTAAAAAACGTATATTAAAATTTGTATAATAAAAAGTAAATTAAATTATTATATAAATTAAAAAACTGGATCTTAATAAGTATAATAAATATATTATAATCGTCATATGATTGAAGTTATGATACGGTTGATTAAGTAGTATTATATCATTTATTAATTTTACACTTTTAATTTAATATTTAATACAAATAAAGTAATAGGTTTCCTGCTTAAAATACCCCATAGAGACCCTGTTCAAACCGATAGATATTTGTATCGGAATGTATGGTGTTTCTATAGGGTGTATCGGTATGTATACATATAAATTCCATATAAATATGTATGTATACATATAAATTCCAACTATGGGTCCTATATATAGGACCCATAGTTGGAATTTATGGTTGTTCTATATGGATATCCACCCTTGATTTATTTGCTATTGGTTTCAATGGGGAAAATAGGTAATTTCCTATAAATTTTCTATCGGGCCGTATCCGGAAAAAACCGTGGACAAATGCACATATTGAATCCGGTAGCGCCCGATAGATTATTTTGTATAGGTCTCTATGGGGTATTTTAAGCAGGGTTAAAGCGGTTTAATATAAAATATTATTATATTTACAATATATCTTATTTATATAAAAATTTATCATACGATTTAGCTGTCACTATATTTAACGTAAAATATAATCAATAGTATATTTCTATCATTTATTATATTTTTTTCTTCGTGTAGGACATATACGAAGTCGTTGCAGAGAAAGCCAGGTGGCGCCGACATAGTCGAGGAAAAGGGGCCACCAACGACCTGTAACCAACATGCCCCAGAAGATATCGAAGTGTTCCATCACTTAAACACCAGTACAGCAGTGTTTTTGTGGATGCTGCTGGATACAGGTGCGACGAAGATAATTATTAGGCCAGATATTGTCGAAATGTCCAAGATCAAAATTACCAATCGGCGAATACTTACTGTAACAGGACTGTTTGTGGAGAAGTGGACATCACGATGGTCATAGGAAACAAGTATTTTAAACATCGAGTATTAGCAGATATTGAAGACATTATGAACTCTATAGGATTTGAACTAAACTTTCAACAAGGAATGTTGAGGGTAAATGGAGAGGAAGTCGTGTTGCATCGATCGAAAGAGAAGAATATTCGTGTAATGCTAACAGAAGATACTTTGATACCGGAACACAGCGAGATGATATTGAAGGCTTTCTTGGATTGTAAATCAGAAGATGGAAGTATAATGCTGCTTGAGCCGAGAATTGATGATAAAGAGGTCGGTCGAGGAATTGTAGTAGGGAAAACTTTAATACGTGTTGGAGATGTGGAAAGCTAGGTAAGCTGTAAGAGTATTAAATGTTAATGGCCATAACCAGAGTATACTCTGTGAACTTGAAGAAAGGAATAGTTTTGGGAAACTGTTCTTCGGTTTCCTCGATTATTAGAGGCATTCGTGAATCTGCAATCCCGGCCAAGAAAGTGAGCAATGAATTGCAAATCTTCTTTCGACTTCTTCAAAGGATTTGAAGCCCAATGAAAGGATAAAGCTGAGACACCTGATTCACAATTATCAGGATGTCTTTGACGACGGACAAGGACAGAAGGGTAGGGCAAGAACTGTCCAGCATAAAATTAACACCGGTGATGCACAGCCCATTCGACAGTCGGCAAGAAGGTTACCACTTGCCAAGCGAGAGGAAGCTGATAAAATTGTGCAAGAAATGGAGAAGGAAGGGGTGATCGAACCATCTAACAGCCCATGGTCTTCCCAGTGGTGTTAGTTAAGAAAAAGGATGGATCCACTCGATTTTCGTCAGCTGAACAACGTGACGAAGGACAGCTACCCTTTGTCTAGGATCGATGACACCTTGGATCCATTGGCTGGATCACAGATATTTTTGACTTTGGATTTAAAGAGCGGTTACTGGCAGGTTAAAATGGAACCAGAAGATAGAGAAAAGACGGCGTTTACCGTGGGTGCAGGACTGTGGCAGTTTACCGTCATGCCGTTTGGACTATGTAATGCCCCTGCAACTTTTGAAAGGCTCATGGAAATTGTTTTAAAGGGGCTATCTTGGAAGACATATCTGCATGTATGCTTGGTGTACCTTGACGATATCATTGTGTTTGGAAAATCATTTGAGGACCATATGAGGAAGTTTTTTAGCGCTTAAGAAATTCCGGCCTGAAGCTTAGCCCAAAGAAATGTCACTTGTGTCAGCGGGTCTGGGCCATGTCGTTTTAAGTCAAGGAGTAGCAGTGGACAAACAAAAGGTAAACACAGCACAAACATCCCATAGTGATTTTCTCGAATAATAATTTTAAAATTTAAATAGAACCAAGTGCTTGTTAATCAACCTTCTTTATCTCTGTTGTCAATCTCCCCACCAATGCGTGCACTTGCAGTCATTCACGTGAGTCGACGGTCTATGCGCGCCCCCTCCTTTATCCCAGCGCCCTCTTAGGAAGATTTGTGTATACATAAAGTTCGGACTCCTTATGTAGGTTTCATAATTCTATTTTTGAAATATAGTTATAACTGGAATTATTAAAAAATAGTAATAAACATTTTTTATTGTTAAAATAAAAATATAAAAAGATTAATTTAAATCACAATAAAAATTACATAAATAACATCACTAAACTTTCTTCTTTGAGACAGGCACGCTAATGTCCATCAAGTTACAAAGCTTGTTCCTGATTGGTTTGACCTGTTCCACAGGTTCTTCCCAATTGGTGGAGCTTAAAACTTGCATAACATCATCCAAGTTGTCTGGATTAATGTTGCTGCTTTCTCCGTTTACTAGCAACGATTCGTATAGTTTTGTGGAAGTTGATCTTCTTACATAAGATTGACGATGGCAAAGTAAAATGCTTAACTGTACCAAGGCAGTGTTGCCAACCTCACCTTTAACCTAAAAATGTAATAATATAGGTTATGTGGTGGTCAGAACTTTGGGTGTAGATACACCATTTTTATTCCAAAAACATAATATGCCGAAAAAAGCGATTCTTGATGAAAATATTTTTTTATAAATCAAAGAAATTTACGAATGTTTTTATAGCTTATAAAATAATCTTATAATTTGAAATACAGACTAAAATTATTAATAGCGCCCTCTATGTAGGTACGTGTATGTACTACTCTTTGGATAAGTACTCCATAAGCTAAGCTTATGCTTAGCGTAAAAACAAAATAAATTAACTTACTTGTATGAATTGGCACAAAACATTTATGCCATCAATTAGCTTATAAATGTCCCTGCATCCAGCAATTTCCAGTTGTATGAGTTTCAGTAATCTCTTCGCATAATTGTTATCTTCTTCTTTGGACACAAAACTTATGCAACCTGAATCAAATAGTTTGTCTAAAAAGCTAAACATGGGAACCGTGATTCTATCAACTTTTTGGTTGTCTTGAAATATTTTATAAATTATTTCACAAAGCCTTTTCACTTCGTTCAATCCTTTTAGTTCTTGCTGTTCTTTTAGATAGGCAAATAACGCGTGGCTGGAATTTTTTACCTAAAAAAGTATTTCTTATGATTATGACTTATTACAGAGTCCAAAAAGTGGGACATTTTCTCCCCACCAAGCAACAGGAACCTGTTTCCAATATAAAAGGTAATTTCAAGTTTAAACAAAAAAATTGACGATTTTTTTTTAAATATTAAGTTTTCAAAATGAAAAGACAATTTCTAATAGAATTCGAATTCTTTCCAGTTCGGTTCCAGCGCTGGAGAAGACACGTCGCGTGCGGGAAAGCTCTTGAAACGTAAAAGTTTAAAGATAAAACCAACAATAATTAAAAAAAAAGTGCAAACTAATAAGTGAAACAAACATTTTTATAGAGTGCAAACTAAAATGTTGTAACGGTCATTGAGGAGTGAAGTGTTGAGTGATATGAATGAGTTAAGTGCCACCTGTCATTGGAGGCTTTTCACTGGACAGACAGGGGAGGTCAAACAAGAGGGGAGGTGTCCATCCGCAAAAAAAAAGCTGATAAGTTACTTTAAGAATATGCATGACCTGATACAAATCTGCAATTTAAATACGGCAGATCCCAGCAAACATTTTCCGTTATTTGTCACCATTAACATTGCCCGTTATTCAGTTTATTAAACATAACATTTATTTTTACTTGAAAATGTTAAAATAACTTTAAAATATGATTATGTTAAGAACATATTTTACTCTTTAAACAATTGTTTTGTTTTTAATTACTATCATTGCAAAATTGTATTGAAAAGTATTAAAAATTCTTACACGGGCAATGTTAATGGTGATAGGTACCGTTAAAATGTTTATTGGGATATCTTTAAAACCTTTGAAAGGCACACGGCATGGGGCAATAAATCTGTCAACAACAAATGCGTAAGGCAATCCCAATCGAGACCGAAATAAACACTAGACTCACAGAATAAACTAACACATTAATCATAATTCTAACACATTAAAAAAAAAGCCTAATAGCCAAACTCGAGATTTGTAAACATTAGACAACAGAATAATCGCGCTTGTAATTTGTTTAACTAATAAATAAATGCAATGCTTAGTTTTGGAATTTAATAAAAAAAGACAAAACTCTATCACAAAACGTGCTTGGGACAAAATTTATTAAAAACAACTGACACACTTTACCAAGTGCAGGAACTAACTGACCAGGACACGGACAATGACAATAACGAACAAGACAAAGACCTCGACTAGGAAACTACACCCCTGCAGCGAAATAACAACTCCCCAACTCCAAATAGTAATCCCAAATGTTTCGAGTAATACTAATCGACTGGTCTAGGGGGATTCCGCGTCGTACTTAGTTTTAAGTCGGCGTAATTGTCCCCCAAAAACCAACACCCTCCTGTCCCTCCTCCATACCCCACTGAGCGTATAGCATAGGCTCGGCGAACCCGGGAATTGCTATTAAAACTATTCGCCTCTCGCTCTCGAGCCCCAAATAGGGGACAGTACGGAACGCAATGGACATTCGCACCCAGCAAACACGGGTGAAGCCGTGCAGTTGCTGGGGAAGAACAAAAATCGGCGTAAGTAAACATAGGCCTGTACCCCGTACAGTGTACGGGGTTCGAGAGTCAAGAGGAAATGGGGCTGGTTATACGTCTCTTATACTCATACTCAATTCGAATTCTTTCCAATAAACAATTTGTATTAGGTACTTATGGTAACGATATGTTATATAAAGGTAGTCAAAGTATATAATAAGAGTTTTATAAAAACGACTTTTATTATGGTCATATTTATAAGGTTACTGTAACCTCTATAGAGGTTATAACTATAGTTATATGATTAGGTTATTTAATTGCTTTCACAAAATTTTTATATAATTTATAATAACCATTACTAGTAAAAGTTTTTAAAAAGGTTTTAAAAGTTTACGGTATTTTATAAATATGAGGCGCCGCTTGTGCCATAATTATGATTTATAAAAAATAGAATAATTTGTAAAAATATAAATATTTTGTTTAAAATATAAAGAATTTGTTTGAAATATATATATATTAACTTATTTTCCTAGATATATATTAGATTTACTAAAATATATCATATTTTAACTAAATAATATATATTTAAAAACAGTAATACTATAGTATAATAATATAAACTCAGCTTACAAGACATAACGCCAGGAGGCGCTGGCAGCTTTATTTAACTTGGCAACGCAGCCTTTCTGTAATTTAATGTGAGAATTACTGTGGTGTAAATTAAATAAAACTAGAAGATACTTTAAAAATAATAATACATCTGGCAAACAGTTATTTAATTTACACCACAGTAATTACCACATAAAATGAAAGAAAGGCTGCATTGCCAAGTTAAATAAACCTGCCAGCGCCTCCTGGCGTTACGTCTTGTAAGCTAAGTTTATATTATTAGTATTGAGTTTATATTAAATAATGCCACTTCCGGTTTAACCGAACAACTTTGATATTTCAAATAGAACACCCCATATAATTTTACATTTTTAAATACTGTATAAAATTACCTTAGATACCTAAAGTGAATATTTTTTGAGTTAGGTATAAATTTTTTTGTTAAAATTTGACAAATGCGCGTTAATTATAAATAGCCTATAACTTTTTTGTTGAATATCTCTTAAACTATTAACTTTGTATGGAGAATAATTACATCAATCAAAAGGTTTTTTAATTTACTATTTAATTATGTAAAAACATACCGGGTGTTACTTTAAAATAAGGAAGTTTTTAACTTTTCAAGTTAGCCTAATTTGCCCTGTTTTTTTCAGGTAATTTGTTAAAAATTGTTAAAGAATTGACATGGAATCTTTTAAACAATGTTTAACAACCACGCGTCCTGGCGACAAATTTTAAAGTTTATCACTTACACAATCATACTTGTAATAGGGTAAAAATCTGAACTTTCACTAAATTTCAAAGAAATGGTTGTTTGGAAGTAATAAGAAATTTAATACTTAGAAGGATTTTTTAAGAGAGCCAGATGTCACTTGGGGGGGCCTAGGAGCATGTTTTGGAAGTAATAAATAAATAGATAGAAAGTTTCTTTGTCCCAAAAGTCCACTAGCGGAAACGCGCACTGAAAAGTAGCCAGATGATGTTTTTCTTGGAAAAGCCTTAACGGTCATTTGAAAACGCTCCCCTTTGTTTAAATCGATCGTTGGAAAATTAAATAATAGAGAAAGTAGTTAAAAGAATAATAACAAATTTATTTAGTTAATAATCATTTAGATTAAGGAATTAGGACTAAGATAAGGATATAACCAGCCGTATAGTAGTTTTACCGATAAGTTCTAAGAATTTAATGTAACCCGAGAAAATTGTCTAAATGTATAACTTAGGTTGAAGTAAAAGGGTAGTTAGTAATTGCCGACATAGGATATTTTAATGTTTTGGACTTTGTTAACAGATTTAAATTTTTATAGAAAATAAGTAACTTTGTAGTTAGGCAACCCCGAATTCACCCTAAGTCAGCGTTAAGTAGGGGTAGAAATTTCTCACTGCACGCCTCTGATTGGCCAGAAACTTCAACCCTAGGCCAAGTCACGCCCTCGACTTAAGGGAGTCTTTAAAAGCCCGACTCAACTGCGTTCTGGAGATTTTATCTTGCAAGATTTCGCGCGCGTCGTTTCCGAGTTCGAAGGTCGAAGTTCTAGCCAGTCAGTGTAATTAATTAAGTCAGGTATATTGTTAAGTTTGTTGTAAAGTTGCTTATACCGGTGCTCGCAGTTAAGTTCACCTTAAGATTGTTAAGTTTATTGTAAAGTTGCTTATACCCGGGTTCGCAGTTAAGTTCACCTTAAGTGACCGGTTTAGTTTAAAATTTGTAGTTTAAATTATTAGTTTTATAAGATTCATTTAGGTTACCTTTTATAAAGTTAATTTAGTTCGGTTTAATTCAAAAGTTAGTTTCTTAATCTTAATTTCTCCGTAAATTCTTTGTTAATTTTCTTTACCGTTAAATTATTAATTCTTCTTATTTTCTTTGTTAAGTTTTATTCTTCTTCTTAATTGTAAATATATTGTTTGTGGTTAGAATCTGCTTTGTTTCTTTGGGTACCTGTTAATTCTAATTACCCAGTGCTTGGCAAGCGTAAGTATATCGGGATTCGCGAAGTGTTCCGGGAGATCCGTCGCGAGTGACTTAGTGTGGTGATTCGTGCTTATTGGGATTACCAAATCATCGGCAACCGTCGCTGGATTAAAGGTCAGATTAGTGGTAACATCCTTGTAACGGACTGATAGTAGTCAATATCAGCCCCGCTCCCCTCGTTCAGTAACCCCAAAAACCACCCGTTACATACTTTTTAACTCTAACTTGTCTAATGTTTTCATCTGAAATCATCATACATGAATATTTTACTCTTGAAGACTTCTTTAAGATCGCGTTTTCCCAGTTTGACAAGCATGAAATTAACCCGAAAATGTATCCGAATAATACCATAGGCTTGTATAGTAGGGTGGGCCGAAAAAATTTTTTTTTGAATTAAATTTAGGGGTACCAAAAAAAAGTTTCCTTATGCCAAAAGTAGTTTGTAAAAAAAAATTTAGCGTACTGGCCCAATATTTAAGGGTCCCCCTGGGGGCCCAAAATATTATTTTTTATATTTTGTTTGGGGTGGCAACAAAAAGTTACATTATGTTGATAATAATTGTAGAAAACAAATTAGCGTACTAGCCCAATATTTAAGGGTGCCCCGGGGGCCCAACATTTTTTTTTATATTTTAATTGGGGTAGCCACAAAAAGTTACCTTATGTTAACAATATGTTTACAAAAAAATGTCCGATATTAGAATTTGACGTCAAAAATTTGACGACTTCTATATAAGGTTCGGCAAGTAACCCTTTGAAAAGTGTGTGAAGCTTGTAACAGAAGCTGCATTAAAAATTTGCTGTGTACCGGCCTATATGACAACAAGTCTCAATATTATTTAAATAATAAAAAAAAACTTGGTGGGAGGGAGCGGGTGGAACTCGAGGAGCAACTATCCAATTAATAATAATAATAATAATAAAGCTTTACTGCGTAA